TGTATTCATGCATAATCTGTACATAGAACAAGAGGTAGTCACTGGAACAGAATAAAGGGATGATATTGAATGGTTTAAAACCAAGAAAGCTATGCATCAGAGTTGATATTTTTACCATATTTACTCAATCCACATGCCAAGCAAATAATCTGAGACTCTGGATTCTATGAAGAAGAACATGGCATCAAGATTGGAGGAAGGATGTATGGATTGTGATAAGAGTTGTATGAGCCCCTAATTTAAAAAAAAGACTGGGGGAAGGCTCGTTAACCATCAGTATACTCATGACATAGCCTTGCTTGATGAAAATGAAGAGAACTTGAAGCACCAATGAATGAAAATTAATGATTACACACTTTAGAAGGGATTATATCATAATGTAAAAAAAACCCTTACAATTGGACCAATAAGCAACATAACGATAAATAGAGAAAAGATTGATATAGTCAAAGATCTCATTTTACTTACATTCACAATCATGGAAGTAGCAGTCAAGAAATCAAATCACACACAAAAATAAATTAAATTAAATTAAATTTAAAAAGAAATCAAATCACATATTGCATTGGGCAAATATGCTGCCACACAAAACTCTAAAACCAAACTCTCTGCCATCGAGTCAGTATCAACTCATAATGACCTTACAGAACAGGGTAGAACTGCCCCTGTGGGTTTAAGACTTCTTTAAAGTGTTGAAGAGTAAAGATGTCACTTTGAGGACTGTGGTACACCCGACCTAAGTCTGGTGTTCGCAAAGAAAACTGAGTATACCATGGGCTTCAAGAATGAGAAAATCTGTCTTAGAAGAGGGACGCCTAAAGAAGGACTTCAAGCTGGATAAAGTGAAGGGTCATTGAAAAAGAGAAAGACCTTCAATTAGATAGATTGGTACAGTGGCTGCAACCATGGGCTCAAACACAACAAGTGCGAGGATGGTAGAAGACTGGGCAGTGTTTTGTTATGTTATACGTGGGAATGCCATGAGCTGGACGTGATCTGATGACACCTAACAATAATAATACCCAATGCCCAGTTTTTAAGGCAGAGGTACACTGTGATTCAAACTTGAATAATTCTTAGCCTGACTGCCAACACAGATATAAACATGAATGCAGATGAGACGACCCCTTGACCCACTTGGTCCTATGCAATGCTGAAAATTCCCTAGCTTTTCCAATGAATCCAACCTTAGGATATCAGAGATATTATCACAGGATGTTGAAATACATACCTCATCTATTGTACACGATTAACCTGTTCTTTCCTTCCTCATAATCTGATTCTTTTGAGTATTTTCTTCCCTGTGAGTATCAGTTATAAATACTGGTCCACTAAATAGGCTCAGAAAGAATAGCAGCAAACTACTGTTGACCCCAGAACAAAAGAACTTTGGTCAAAGAATACAAAGTCACCAGAACAAGTCACACAGGATTTAGATACAAGGGGTCTGACAAATCATTTCCTGGCCAAGAATCATAACCCTGCCCCCATGTATATTCATGATTATTCCTTGGAAATCTGTTACATAGTCATAATCTTCGCCATTTACTTCCTGGTGTAGGTATATAAATCTGCAAATCCCCTTTCCTGGTGTACTTGCCTTGGCGACTCAAGTCCTAGTTTGCTCCTTGCTTGCTCAATCAAAGTAAATCTTACTTACCTCTTTCACTTTTATTCTTTCTTTGCCTTTGTTTTTTTTTCTTCTTCTTTTTCTGTAAGCCTTGCCAAGGAAGATCTGGGTTGCTAACACAGGCAACATGTGTATACACTGACATTTTCCTGTCACTAGTCTCCCTACCCCAGGTTCTTCACTTCCCATCCTGCAAACACACCCAGATCAAATTTTTCAATGAATAGCTAAGGTCATTCAGAATTCATATTAACTCATTTTCTAAGAATTTAATATATTCTAGGCATTAAAAGGTACAGGGGACTGAACAATGAATGAGACAGACATGATCCTTGACAACACAGAATTTATAGTCTATGAGGATTGTAACTCTATCTAGCATCCAGGGGAAAAAATCCAAACTCACTGCCATCCAGTTGATTCCAACTCATAGTGACCCTATGGGACAGGGCAGAACTGCCCCTGTGGCTTTCCAAGTATTTAACACTTTATATAAGTAGAAAGCCTCATCTTTCTCCTGAGGAGCAACTTGTGGTTTTGAACTGCTGACCTTGTATTTAGCAGCCCAATGCATAACCTATCTGAGTATTAGGGTGTGCCTGGCCCAAGCCACAATATTTTCAATTGCCTCTTATGCATGTGAAAGTTGGACATTAAATAAGGAAGACTGATGGAAAAATCGATACTTTTGAACTGTGATGTTGGCAAGGAATATTAAAAGTTCCCTGGACTGCCAAAAGAACCAACAATTCTGTCTTGGAAGAAGTACAGCCAGAATGCTCCTTAGAGGCAAGGAGGGCAAGACTTCGTCTCACATACTTTGGACTGTTACTAGGAGAGGCTAGTCCCTGGAGATGGACATCAGGCTTAATAAAGCAAGGGATAGTGAAAAAGAGGAAGGTCCCCAACAAGATGGATTGGTATAGTGGTTGCAACAATGGGGTGAAACATAAGAGCAAATGTGAAGATGGTGCAGGGTAGGGTGGTGGTTTGTTCTGTTGTACATAGGGATGCTATGAGTTGGAACAGACTCAAAGGCACCTAACAACAACAGGAAGGGCACTTAGCCCTTATAGAAGAATCTGATGGTTAATGTGAGACTTGACGTATGAATAGAAGATGAAGAAGCAATGGAGGGGAAGGCACGGCACGTGGCAGCAAGCACAGGAAACCAGGCCCCTGAGACCAGGATGGACAGAGGCATGTGGGTGAGAGCAGCAGAAAGCATCTGGGAAAAGACAGGGAGGACCCGGAGGCCTACAATGGAGAAGCAAGTCAAGGCTGGGCTTGTTAAGGGAAAGAGAAGGTTTTAAACATCAGTGGTTTTTGTCACTCTACCAATTAGCCCTTTCGTTGGCTCCCTGTTGATCTGAGGTTCAAGTTCCCAAAGTCCATCTTGTTTGATGTGGCCTACAAGGCCTTGTAGAGTCTGATCTTTGCTACCCATCCTACTGCAGATCTCTCCCTTTCTCGTGAAAGTTCAGACCCACAGCACACTAAATGACCCTCATTCCTACTAAGTGGCTGCTCTCACCCACATCCCTCTGTCCCTCTTGACCTTAGGGGTCTAGTGTTCCTTTATCTTTATGTGACTGTATTCTGTCTTTCTCTTTAAACTGAGCTCCCAGAAGACAGACAATTTCTCAGATATCTCAAGGCATCTAGTCAGACACCTCACCTAACATCGCATCACTGAAGCAAGGACATAATGAACACAGTCTAGGGCAACCCAACTTTTTCTCGACTCCACACATCAATATTGACATCATACTGAACACTTCCTTCGAGGAGGCAGTGCAGGGCCAGTTGACCCAGATTTTTCTGCTTCCTGTCAGTAGTTGCCTCTCTCTGCTCTCAGGACAACTAGTGGGCTGGGAAAATAGATCTTCAAGAGGGTTCAACCGCCAAGTGCTAGAAAAGACAGATCTAAGCGGTTACAGCTGAAAGTAGATCAGTGGTTACCTGGAGCTGGGAGATGGACGTTGACTGGAACAAAACAATGGAGAATTCCATTATTTTAAATTTTTTGTAACTTTCTGAGGTCATATGTGTCTGGTATCTCAAATGTGGTGGTGGTAAAAAAAAAATGTGGTGGTGGTTACATACGTGTATAAATCTGTCAAAACTTGTCAATGTGTCCAACTAAAATGGTCTCTTATTGTATATAAACCAGACCTACAATGTTCTATTTTTTAAAAAATCATGTAAACTAAGCACTGCACATGAGCTTGAAAACTTAACTCAAGTTGTCCTAAAATGAGGGCATCGCTACCTGGGAATAACAGCCTTCCCATGGCAGCAAAGATCTAAGAAATTAGTGGTCACCTGCAGCAGGAGTACAGGTGACAGAAGCAGAAGAACAAGAGGCTAATAAGGAAGAGGTGGGACCAAAATAATATAAAGTTGCAAACACTTGCCAAATTTCAAAATTCCTAGGCCTATGTGAGATAAATTTAGGACGATAAACAGATGTTTTGCTTCACAGAGCCAGAAACTATAAATTAGTCCCAGGGTGGTAATGCATAAAGGGTTTGGAAAAAGTGATGCCTAACAGACTCCTCCAGAAGCTGGGGCTAGCTCCCTTCCAGGGTAACACTGGGAGAAAAGCAGTACTCTGCGCTGGGTGGGCAAGGGAGCTGACTCTTCTAGGGCTTCCTTTGAGAAGGGATGACATCTAGATAGGTGGCAACAAGGACACAGTGTCCACAATGGCTCAAGGAGTCCCAGGAGTGGACACAGGGGCTCTGGAAACCATCAGAAGCCAGCATCTGGGCATGTGCAGTGTATGTCATGGGAGGCCAGAGATTGGAAAAGAGTCTCTCTCCTCCTCTTCTCTACCGAATCTCTCTCTCCTCCCAGTACAGAAAACCCAAACCAAGCCCTTGCCCGTGATTTGTTCTAGAGTCCCTGACAGTTCCCTCGCACTCGTTCTGTGTGTCCTCAAAGGGCTGGGCCTGTGTCTCCAATCCAGCCTAGTGCAGACCACATAGCAATGGGCTGGACAGATGAGAGGGTGTTCCTTGGGGAGAAGAACGATAGGGTAATGAGGGCTCTCCAAGTGGAAGTGGGGGAGTGGTTAACGAGTGTGGGGCAGTCAGGATGGGTCACGAGTGAGTGGAGGGGGTGCAGGGGTGCGGGAAGGCCAAATGAGAGAGGAGTGGGAAAGAGTGGTCCGAGCAGCGTGGGAGTGAAGCCAGGGTCAGAGGCACAGAGCAGGCTAGAGTCAGAGGTCAGTGAGAGCACAGGTTAGGGGTCACAGGGGGAGAAAAAGTTAAGGGTCAATAGAGAAAGGAAGGTCCAGAATCAGCAGAAGTATAAGCAGTGGTCACTGGGGTGAAGGTCAGAGGCTGCGGAAGAGGGTGTGCGTTACCGGCTTACGAGGCGGCTTATGGGGCATCTTCGTTGAAGCAGGAAGCACCTCAACCCTTGGTTCGCCTACAAAACGCCCCCTTGTATGAGAACAAGAAGTTTGTCCAGCTCCTTGACCACGCACAAGAAATCCGGACTCTCACTTTAATTCCCAGTCGCAGAGGTTCTCTGGGGACAGCCGTAGTTGTCTTGGCGGTCCCCGCGCCCTTGTAGGAAAGAATCCGCGGCTCCCTGACGCGGTTACCTAGCAACCGACTGGCAGTCACGGCGCAGGCGCCTCTAGCGCCCCCTCCCGGACCATAGAGAAGGCGGGGCTAGGCGCGTGGGGCGTCTCTCGCGGCGCGCTAAATCCCGCCCCTTCAAGAACCCGGCCTCGGAAAACGTTGAGCCTTCAGGACTCCTGCATGTGGGCGGGACTGAGGCTCCCAGACACCGCCTCCTCATGAATAATGCAAGCACCGGGCGGTGTCCCGGACCCGGAAGTGGAGTTGCCGAGTCACCGCAGTGGCTGAGCTGCTGACAGGAGGCGGCGGCGGAGGAGTAGGCGAGGCAAGATCTGCGGCCGGGCCTGGCCACAGCCGCTGGGGCGCTCAGCGAGCCCTCCGAGCCTCGCCGGCCCCAGCCCGCCCGCGCACCTCTCGCTCCCGGCCGCCTGCGGGCCCGACTCCTGGCAGACGGCCTAGTCTGCAACACCGCCGGGCTCCTGGGGCCGCCGCCCCGCGCGGTCCTTCGGCGTCCCCGGCCGCGCCCCCGACCCGCTCGCCCGCCGGCACCATGATGGAGGAGATCGACCGGTTCCAGGTGCCCACCGCGCACTCGGAGATGCAGCCGCTGGTGAGGGGGCGGGCGGCGGGCAGGCCAGGGCTGGGAGCGGGAGCCGCGGAGGGCCAGGAGGGAATAGGCCGTGTGGAGGGGGCGCCATCGGGTCGCCGGGGGTGGAGGACTTGCGGGCCCAGAACCCAGCGGGAGAATGCTGCACTGGGCCAGAGCGCGGGGACCTGGAAAGACGAAGGGCACCGCTGATGTAGGCCTAGGGCATCCCCGGGAGCGCTGTCGGATGGAATAGAGGGGGCCCCCGTGGTGGGGGATGGCAAGGAAATGGATGGAAAATCTCGGGCAGCAGGCCCAGAGGGGCCTGTGATGGGGAGGTGGTAGCGGGTAGGCGCTTAGCCTTAGAGGCCTATGATGCTGGAGCAAGGGAGGGGCGCCATCCTCCATGTCTCTGGATGTGCATGGGAACAACGGGAGCAGTAACGGTGTGTGGGGGTGTCCCTTCCCCTCCAGGAGGCGCCGAGGTGAGTGCTTGACAGGTGGAGAAACAAGGACGTAGACGAGCGTGCCCACGGTGCTCCGGCGCTGATGGGGAGGGGGCGGGCCCCCCCCTGCTGCCTGTGCCCGCCACTTGCAAAGGGCCCCAGTCCCCTGGGCCTACGTGCTTGGAGCCCTCGCTGGGCGCAGATTCTGCCGCCAGTCCGCTGTCCCGGCGTCAGGGAGGAATGATGTCATCGCTGCCGGCTCCGAGGGGATGGAGGGGGCGGGCTATCTGAGGCTTGGGGGAGACCGTGCCCAGTGGCCACTGACAGAGGGCTACCTGACTAGTTTTTCCGCGAGGGAGAGTTGAAGCTACTCAGCTGGTGTAGAGAGCACGAAGGGAGGGAACACTTGGACCTGTTCGCTTTTCCATCGCCTCACCCCGCCCCCGACCCCCAGCTCTTAGAAGGAAGAAGGAAGCTAGAGAAAGTCTGGAACTTGGACGCGTGGGTGCCCTAGTCTCTGAGCGCAGCTGAGGAGAGCAGAGCTCTCCAAATCCTGAAGCTCTAGGCCTCCTTAAGCTTCCTCCCCCTGTGGGTTAATAGGTGGGGAGGTGAGGAGCAGGTTTTGTCTGTGAGTCAGTCTGGAGGCTCCTGACTGACAGATATGCTTTGTGGCTTCCCGGGCAAGTAACCTGCCCATTCCAGCTGCCAGGGTGGACCTTGGCAAGGACCTACGACTCTATGCCCTATCTGCCTCGGGAGGGTGGAGAGACTCAGTAGATTTTTGCTCTCCCGCTCTTGTGTGCTTACTTACACCATTTTAGGAGCCAAAACAGAGTGGCTCTGTTGACAGCATTCCATTGGGAAGAGAGATGCTTCCTAATTTCTTTCCTGGGCTGACACCTTCATTGGATGGTTTGAGAGTCAGAGAAACCTGCAGGGAAGTTGGTTCTTTGAACTTGCAGAAGGACCTTGGGCTGGCTTTCCTTTTTCAGATTCTCTTTCTATCTAATCTGGCTTCTGCAACTAGACGGTACTTCCAGTTCTCAGCATCTCATCAAAATAACCAAAAAGAGAGTGGATCAAGGAGTAGGACCAAGTGAGCCAGGAGAAGGAAGCAGTGAGTGGGTTCTTGTCTCCCATCTGGAGTTTCTCAGGTGGGTGGGAATAGCTGTCCAGGGAAAGGTGGGGAAAGGGTTGGGCTCCACTGTGGGAGACTTGTGGCCAGAGGACTCCTTAGGCCTGTGCTCTGGTCTTTGTGACCATGGAGTAGGAGAGGTGTTTGTGGACAAAGAAGCATTTACTAGCAAAACTGTGCCTCTTTTCTTGAAAGCTAAAGGAGTCCTTCTCTGCCAGAATGAGTCTTATGGGCATGGCAGTGAGGTCATTGCCCATTTTGGAGTCACAGACCTTATTGCCCTTCCAAACTCAGCTTCTTGACCCTTGTATCCAAGCTGAAATCCAAGGGCACTCCAAAACTCCCTTTCAATGACCTGTGTATTGTTGAGACCTGCAGAACCTTGTCTGAAGTTTCACCAGGACCCCATGTTGATGCCCTCTCTTCCTCACACATTTCATTTTGGAGCGTAAGGGATCAAGATGTCATGCCACAGAGGCAAAAGGCCAAAGAGAAGGACAACATGGCTCTTTAAGGATACTTGGATTGAACATAAAACCTGGGTGCCTAGGCTCGGGCCCAGCTCTGACCGATTGTACTTTTTGCCAGGATTTTATTGATACCTCTAGGAAGTCTCTCCTTTTTCCTGTTCTCAGTTTTTCTGTTTCTGAAAAAACTCTCTCCTTACAATTTAAACCGGAATTCCCCAGTTTCCCCTCAAAGGATATCATGGGGATGGCATACCATCAATCCAGAAAGTCGATTTACCAAAGTTTTGTGAGCATCTGCTCTGTTCTAGATACTGTTCTAGGTGTTGGGGACTCCATGGTTAGCAACACAGAAGCAGATGAAGGTCACAGTTGAGGGCAAGTTTATTTCTCTGGCTCACTTCCTTAGTGTGAGTGCCCCCGAGAGCAGGGTCAAGGCTCCGCGTCAAGCTGTAAGGGAAGCAGGGCAATACTGGTCTCAATAGTATTGCCTCTTTCCGAACCAAGCTGTATGGATAAAGGCCTGTCCCAGGACTCCATCATCAAATAGTCCTTCCCCCACCCCCACCCCCAGTGCTGGGAAAAATTCATAGGCATTCCATACTTGGAAAGATAAGCTCTAGGAGAGTCATGTCTATTTATTATTATTATTATTATTATTATTATTATTATTATTATTATTAACTTGAAAGAGAAACTCAAGCTAAAAAAGGAGACCTGGGGGAGTGCTAGGAGTTGGGAGAAAAGGCAAAGCCGGCAGATCTGGGTGTTTCCAAGGTGCTAATTTAAGCATTACTTCTCAGCTAGTGGGAGGAAGAGGAAGAAGTCCTTGCCCTGTTGTTGCTGCTGCTGCTGCCGCCTCTGACACAGCTGTGTGGAGCCTCCTGTCTGGGGTGGGAGTTTGCCTAAAGGGAGTCCCCCTCCCTCCTTTCCCAATCACTCCAATGGCTTAATTGGCCTAGCTGCATCTCAGCAGCTGAACCAGGCCGGGCTTATGCCTGAGAGTTCCCCAGGGTCTCTTCCTGTCTCTTTAGGAAAGGAATGAGGTCTTCTCTTGGAGAAGTTTCCCTAGGTGCCTTCCTGCTGTGTGTGTCTAGAGCCCAGATTCTCCCAACGAGTCTGCCAGGGATGTAGGCCCACTGCGTGTGTCAGCTCTGTCTGAGCCACATCTCTCATGATCTAGGGCACCTTCCAGCTGTCTAAGGCTCTCTGTGGAGCAGTTTGGTTAAGTTTGGGCTATTGTATGGGTTGTATTGCTGAGCTGGTTGGTGCAGCTGCACAGTCTATGTCTTCTTTTTAGGCTGCAACTGGAAAGAAAGAGATTCGTTGCAAGAAAAACAAATGGAGCTTTCCAGCACTTAATTGTGTCAGGCAAAGCATGCCTCTTGTGCTCTAAGAGACCAAGGAAACAATGGCATATGGCACCAGGCAGGGTTTCTGAGGGAAATGCTAGCCTGGGATCACTGAAACCCAGGTGATCTGTGACCTCATTTGGTTAGTGCATGCGCATCTGTGATGTGTCTACTTAGTTCCAGGTACTTTAAGACTACTGAGACAAGTGAGGTCTCTCCAGTGGGCGGACGGGAGGAGGGTGGATTAAATGGTTGTGGAAAGGTTCTTAGATACCTATGGGGAAAGAGTGAAGACCAATGAAGGGTGTTCCCAAGAGTGATACCTCTACTGGGGGAAGGTGAGGACTTGCCAAGATTCTTGGAAAAGAGGGATTGCTAAAGTTGGTGAGCTGGAAAGGTGTTTCAGATGCTTACTACCTCCTGGCACTTAAGGATGGCCAGGAAACGAACTCAGTAAGTGGGTCACAAGAGCTGCTGAAAGTGGCCAAGAGAAGACTGAGAAGAGAGCAAGTAGCCATCATGGAAAACTGGCCAAAATGTTATTCTGTGGCCTGGCACCTGAAGCTGACTTCTCAATATAAAGGTGAATTCTCTTATGGATCTGTGTAGCTCGAGAGCTGACCATATTTTTCATGCTCCTGGGGAAAGGCACACACTCCCTTCCCCGTCTCCATTCCTCTATTGCAAACAGAGGTTCAAGTGTGCTCGGGCCTCCAACCCCTCATTACTCATCTCTTCATTCAATAAACATTTAGTAAGAAATTACTCTCTGTTTGATCCTGTGCTGGATCTTGCTCCAGGGACTTACACAGTCCAGAGCAGATGGAGGTGCCAATGTGTTGTGAGCAGTACAAAAAAAGTAAAAGCCCGTTCTGGTGGTACCAAAGGCTAACAGGAAGAGCTTCTATCAAGTATACAGAAGGGGCATGATGGAACTGGCCCTTGGAAGTGGAAAAAATCAGCAGACTAGCAAGATGCAAGGGCAAGGGCGGGGGCAGGGGATGGGGATGCCTTTGGAATGAATGAGGGGTTGTAATTAGGAGAGCAGCACAATCAAATGTGAGTTTGGGAATATCACTCTAGAGTAGAAGAGGAAATGGACAAGGTGAGGTTGCAATCGCAATAATCCAGACAAGGGTGATGAAGGCAGAGAATCAGGAGGGGACAGATATACAGATACTAGCAAAGTGGAATAGGAAGAATATGGCGCCTATTTGGGGGGTAGAGGGGAAAGGTAGGGAGTCAAGGATGACTCCATGGTTTTTAGTGTGGACACCAGATGGTGGGTGAGATCATCAGTACCACCTCAGGAAATATAGGGGCCGTGAAGTTCTTCAGGATCCCTGATAGTGAAGTCGGGTAAGTGTTGGACTACCAACCGACAGGTCAGTAGTTCAACCCCCTCAGTCATTCTTTGGGAGGAAGATGAGGTTGTCTGCTCCCGTAAAGATGCACACTCTCAGAAACCTAATAGGGTTGCTACGAGTCAGAATAGATGCGATGGCAATGAGTATGTTTTCCTTTTTCTTCCTTTTTTTTTTTTAGTTATGTACCTTTGGGCCTCAGAGACTGTTTATATGGGAGAAAGCTGCTCTTTTCCTTACTGTGCTGCTGCTCTTTTCCT